TATTATTATTATTATTATTATTATTATTATTATTATTATTATTATTATTATTATTATTATTATTATTATTATTATTATTATTATTATTATTATTACTATTACTATTACTATTACTATTATTATTATTATCTATCTTTGTACAGTACAGTAAAATATTAAAGTATAAAAACTAGTATGTAAAAGTTAAAAAAATTAAAAAGTCAAGGATGATTAAAAATCTGTTAGAAATTATTTGAAAGGTGAAAGAAGCTCTTTGAAGGCACTAATCAGGCCCATGGCTATATGCTCGCCTGGACTCTTCACTCCATGCCACAGAGCCATGTTTTCCTTCCTTTCTGAAAGGCCAGGAGAATGGGGACCTGGGTCACCTCTAGGGAAGAGAATATTCCACAGAGCAATGGCTGTGGCATAGAAAACTCTCTTCCTGGAATCCACCAGTTTGAGTGTTGTGCCACCATTTCTTTGTCTTGTTCTTGAGCATCAAGGATGTCAATAACTTCCTGGTTTGGAATATTGCCCCATTGTTTCCCATGTTTGGATTCTCATGCGAAACCTTGACATTTCATTAGCATACAGTCCTTGGTTTTCATAGAAAAATGCAACAGTGGATTTGTTTATGGTATTTTTTTAGGTAGAGGGGGCAAGATGTCTTTTGAAAAGTCAGGAAATATGAATTCAATTTTGGAGTTAAGGTTAGAGTTTGTATAAAATTTAAAAGAAGGTCACAAAAGAATTCGAGCCAGTTTCTATGAAAGAATACACAAGAAGCCACTGTCTAAAAGCAAGAGTAGCACACTCCTGGGAACAGGAAAATAAATTTTGGCGGTGTGTGTGTGTGTGTCAGAAAACCGATCTTAGAAGACTGATGGGTGGAGAGGAAGATTGTTCAAACAACTGTCAAGACCATAAGGATTCGCCTTCAGTAGATACTGGGCCAGCCTTGAGCCATACCAGTCAAATATATGAATGGAGGAGTGTGTGTGTGTGTGTGTGTGTGTGTGTGTGTGTGTGAGAGAGAGAGAGAGAGAGAGAGAGAGAGAGAGAGAGAGAGAGAGAGAGAGAGAGAGAGAGAGAGAGATGAGATGAGATAAGGAAGGCAAATATGTCATTTTCCAATAAAGCTTTGTAACTCATGGAACACTCTCCACTCATAACTTGCTGAAAGATTGTAGCTGGTCTACTAGTTGGTGCTTTAGAGAAATTAAGATAAGGAACCCTATCAAAGGGTGTGTAGCCCATCATGAAATCCCTTTAAAAAGGCTTCTTTACCTCAAATACATTTTAAGATGTAAAAAGGAGATCAAGACAAGTGGGCAGAGCTTAAGCACATACTTGAAGAAGGTGCTTGATTAAAAGTAGTACTGTAGAGCCAGTTGAAAAATTGTCCAAGAACATCCTGATAAATCTGAATAAAACACATGTAAATGCATTTTGATTATTTTCCCTTAAATGATCCACATGTATTTGTTTATTGATTAATATATTGATCTCTATGACTACCAGGGCATCCATGCCAACTGGCAAGAATTAAAATACAATATAAAAACAATATATATTATAAATATATTATAAATACCCCAAAATACCATTCTCAGCCAAATAACATGGCTCCAGAATACACACTTATCAATAGTATAGACTATAGTTACAGTTGCCTTCATATTGGACTATAAAAATACCAGTCTCTAAAGAAAGATATAGTCTAACAAATCCAATGACTTATTCAAGATAACTGGCTTGGAGAGTGTAAGAAGGACATAGAATGATATAGGAGATACTGGATTAGTTCCTCATCCATGCCACATCATAGGTTAAGGTGAACTATAAGTGCTTGTTCTGCCCAGTATTGAATACTGAATGGAAAGAGATACAAAAGGCAGGACTCCATTGGTAATGCTGGTGGATGTATTAGAAGATTGGCAAGGGTGAATTGGGTAGTATGGCAGATATGTCAAACACAAGGCCCGCGGGCCACATCTGGCCTGTGATGTGATTACTACAGGTTACCCTGGAGACAGCAAGGGACCTGCCCCTGCTGCCTCGGCCCTGGCCCAGGCCGGCCGGTTGCCAATCTACAACTTCATGGTGGCCAGGCAGGCTGGAATGTAGTCAATCTTAGATCTGTGGAGCCGCCCTCAATCCAATTAACTACCTTCACTTTGAAATGGTCTTATAGTCACCTGGTAGAACCTTAATGGTTTTGTTCCTGGCAAGGAAGGAAAACATTCTAAGGGAAGATAAATTTCTCAATATTCTTGATAAAATCCAGTGAAATATATTAAACCAGAGAAAGAAAATCTTTGCACTGTTTCTCATTTTAAATGATATGGAGTAGAAATCGGAATAATAAAAATATACACAATGTTGTGAAGCTTCATATTCAATAGCCGCCTTTTTTTCTACCACCGAAAATGTTTCTAAATAGGGCAAGTGTGTCCCATATAGATCATGGTGCAAAGTACACACCCTTAAATTACACTGATACATTATGCATACTATTTTTTTGTGGGACAAAGATCCTATAGGAGACATAACACATCAACAATGCTGAGCCAATTCCCAAGTTTCATTTGAACTCCTCTAAAATGGGAATTGGAATTACCCATAAATTTAGAATTGCAATCAAAAGAACTTTGTGTTGGACTTCTGGTGAAGATATCACTGCCACCTGACATGCCTAGAGAATCTCCTCTCTTTGGATTGTCATTTTTTCAATTTAATAACAGAAGGAACAGGCTTCCTTTTTGTTTATCTGACTCTCCTGGGTTAGGGAAAGTTCTAGAATCATCCCCCAAGATCCTTCGAAAGCAGCTTGTGATGAAGCAGCTGGTGAGCCAAAGCTGGAGGGTGGGGCTGCAATCACTTTGTGGTGGGATAAGACAGCCATTTTGAAATTTATTTTTCAAACAGATAATAAATCATGCACTTCATTTCTTAACCAATTTAGAATACTATTTTCTTTCTTTCTTTTTTTAGCTAAAAGAGGCTCTCTTTAGTCACAGCTTATTACTCCTTTTTGAAGCTCTGTGTCATTTTTGTGATCTTTATTGTTAAATGACAAGGAAGAGGGTTGCTGGAGGCAACTAAAATAAAGAAATGTGGAGTATTTTTTTTCTTTTGAAATTTGATGGAGAAACATAATGATAAAAGTTGTTTTACTATTTTACTAATTTTTTTTTACTTTTTTTACTATTTTTAAAATAACCTGTAGCCCTGGAGTGCTTTGTTGTGGGTGGTTGAAATTTTTCGATTTTCATGAACTCTGACTGGCTCCCCCAAAAGGGAAAAAATAATAAATAAAAAACACTTTTTGACCACTAGAGGGAGCTATGGAGATGCTTAATCCTGAGCTGGAGTCTGTCATCATGAATATCTTCATACAGAAAATCATTTGTACCATAAATCAACTAGGAACTAAAGATACAAATAATACAGATGACATAAAAAAAAGAACAAGAGACACAGTTAGATGTGGAAAATTATCAACCCATTGTGACAAATCCACAAATGCTGGACAATGCAAATAACTTAACTGTAACTTTGGAATAAAAATCTGACACCAGCTTTTATTATGATGATGGTTTGAATATAACCATCCCAGTGCAATTGAAACAAGAGTGCCAAGTAAATTCACAATTTTTAAGTGGTCAAGTTTGGGATTTTTTCTTCATGGATACTAACAAGGTTGAGAATATTTTGAGAAAGAAAGATATGATAGACATTTTAGAGATTTTATTCTACAAGGAAATGCCCCGTTAATCTACAACTTTTAACAGAACAACTTTGAGACTCCTTTTTCATGAATATTAACAAGGCTGAGAATTTCTTGAAGAAAAGAGATTTGAAAGACATTCCTGAGAAGGCATAGTAGACATAATTCTGTGAAAACAATCTGTAGGGAGTGACTTAAATTTAATTTGATATATGTATTGAAAGAAAGCTCTAAGGTAGTTTTGTATTTATAAAATGAGTTTGTAAATGCATGTTTTCTCTCCTTTTATGTAATATTGAATAATTATCAAAGTTTGTAAAATATTATTGATCAAATTTGAAAATAAGAGAAGAAAAAGATTTTACTCCATGAGAATAAACTTGAGGGAGAGATTTAAATCCAATGAGTTAATTGGATTTTTATTGGTGTGATATATATAATTGAATGAAAGCTTTAATGTAATTTTGTGTTTTGAATTCTGGGTTTCAAATGAAGGGTTTTTCCTCTTTATATCCAATATTTAACTAATGTTTAAAGTTTGTAAAATATCAAAACTAGAAAAAATGTTTTCTCCCATCAGGGTTAAAAAATAATATAATATAGGTAATTCTTTTAATATAAACTATGACAGTTTGTAAAGATTAATGAGTAAATAGAAGTATATACTATTCCCCAGAGCAAGGAAAAGCAGAAATGGTCAAATCGACTCTTTTATCCAAAGAAGAAAATATATTTAATTTTATTTCTATTTGGAAATTGCTTCCAGATTTTGTGCTTGCAATGAAAAAAAATGAAACTTTAATTTTATTGCTATAGAAATGGCTAGTATATACTGCTGTATAAAAGTAAAAAGTTGAAGTAATGTTGTTATCTTCTACTGTGCTAAAGAGAGTTGAAAGTTGGTGCCTTTTTATTTCCTTTCCCCCTTTTACACCATATTTTCTGTTTTTCTTTTTGTCTCCTTCCTAGTTTTCTATTATTTTTTAAAATTTATACTCAAAGAAAGGGCTTTTATGTTGCAGACAAACTTCCTCCACCATTTGAGGACAAGGCACAACTGATTCTGTTAATGATGAATAATATTCTCTGTTGGATTTTAATTTTAAGAAGAAAAAATGAATGGGGAGAAATTCAGCATCATTCAATGATCTTGGCAAAAATTCAGTAACTTTTGGATTAGTAATGACAGTTTCCATTAAAAGACAATATGATATAAGGGAAAAAAGATAGAAAAGGTCTTCAAAATAAAATATCACAATCTCCACAATTTAGAAAGCACAGATTTGATATTCTTATTTCTTATGCTGTAGATGATTGGATTGAATAGGGGTGGGAGTAAAGAATACAAGGCAGTTAATGCTAAATCTAAGTAAGATGGAGTGTCAGAGGGAGATCGCAAATAGGCCAAGCATACTGTTATCAGAAACATGGAAAAAACTATAAGGTGGGGAAGACAAGTGGAAAAGGTTTTCTGCCTTCCTTTTACAGAAGGAATTCTCAACACTGCCTTGAAGATCATAGTGTAGGAGAAAATGATAAAAATAAAGCAACCAAACCCTGCAGTGATACTAGCCACAAGGAATCCAACTTCAACTAGATTGAAACCAAAGCAGGACAGTTTTAGCAAGTGTGGAATTTCACAGAAAAATTGGTTGACAACATTAGAACAGAAAGGGAGGTAAAAAGTACCAATGGTGTGCAACATACCATAGAGAAGACTTGTGACCCACACCAGAACCACTATTTTGGTGCAGGCTTTCCAATTCACTATCAGTTCATAGTGCAGTGGATAACAAATAGCAACATACCGATCATATGCCATAACTGTCAGAAGAAATAAATCAGAAGCTTCAAAGGAAGAAAAGATCAAGACTTGAGCAACACAACCCAAGTAAGAGATGTGTCTGGTGTCCATGAGGGAATTTATCATGGATTTGGGGATGATGACTGAAACAATGCCCAGGTCCTCCACAGCCAAATTCATTAGAAACAAGTGCATGGGGGTATGCAATTGATTATCTAAAGCTACTGCAGAAATGATTAGAAGATTTGCTGTTATAGTTGCCAGATATAATGCAAAGAACAAGAAGAAATGTAGAATCTGCAGATGTCGATTTTTTGAGAATTCCAGAAGCAGAAAGTAAGACACGGTGCTTTGATTCTCCATTCTTAAGTTAAGATGAAGATGAATGCCACAACTGCAAGGAATTTGGGATGAGAGAAACAACAGTTAGAACACATCCACAACATTACTTCTCTAATTAATCTAATCAGTGCACTCTGCACATATTTCAATCCATTACTGATAAAAGAACTTATTAACCTCTCCCATCAACCTCTCCACATCTTAATCATATTCCTTGTATAGGGTTTATACTAAAACAATCTGTCAAAAACACTCTCAGCTATAGAACTACACTTAGGTCTTTGGCTAACGAGTTTCACAGCACCCATAAGACTGAAGTAGTAAGGAAAAATTTGAGAAGGGTTATGTACATGGTGCCTTGATCTCCTGGAGGAAAGGCAAGACACAAATTAGCAACTAAAACCATAATATACAATGATATAATATTTTTTGAGGGAAGAGGCTTTCCAATTGCCTCAGTTTCTCAATCTCTCCTACACACACACAGACATACACCCATCACATGCAAGAATAAATGAAGTATAATGGTTTTGTCAGTTGCTCTGGGAGTTTTGGCTGAAGAATAATGTTATAGTAGAGCACTAGGTTATAATTTCATTTAAGTTATCTTCCCAATATTGAAATTATATAAATGAATTTAATTCCATTAAATCATGCATATGTCAATAAATTCCAATCTATCCCAGAAAAAAAGAAATAGTTTTTCTATCAAATATTCAAATCCCTTACTATTTTTCTGCACAAAATTATTGTTTCTTCTGTTGCATGCTCTTTAGACTCTGTATTGATTCAGTAATGGAGAAATATTATCCAACCTTTGTTCTATCATGTAACGATGTATCATCAGTGGGAAAATTTATATTTGACAAGCTTAATAATCTTTTGGTATCCCTCCAGACTTAATTATATAGCACAAGACTATAGAGTCAAAGTTAGATAAAATATTATATGGCAAATATTATTATCTTTCAAAAATGAATTGAGAAAATATGTGTGAAAAATGTTCTAGAACAAGTCTTTATCACTTGAAGTTTTGTTTCATGTGTATTTTTTAACTAAGATTCCATCTTCCATCATAGTCATCCAAACTGCTGCCTATGTAGTGACATAAGTGAGGATTATCACTTAATTATACATAGCGTGAAGAAGCACTTTTATACATGAAATCTGGATCATCTGTCCATTTAACAGAATGCCCCAAATATTTAACCTTTCCATTATATTATTTGCTGAGAATGAGATTACTATGTGGTATGCAAAATGGGGCTGCACCAACAATTAGATTAGGGATCCCTAACATTTTTGGGCACAAAATTATGCCTACTTACCTATAAAGTTCTTGCTTCTCCTTTTATCTTCTAGAGCAGGGGTAGGCAACTTTGGCTCTTTTATGCCTCGTGGACTTCAACTCCCAGAATTCCTGAGCCAGCATGGCTGGCTCAGGAATTCTGGGAGTTGAAGTCCACGAGGCATAAAAGAGCCAAGGTTGCCTACCCCTGTTCTAGAGTATCCCTTATTTTCCACCATACCTATCTTCTAAAAAGGCTTATGGATTCTAATATATTAAAATAATCATACTTCTATAAACTGATGTTTTGATTTTCAGATTGCTATTTCAGCCCTGTTTATAGTTAAATATTTGGGTAGTATCACCTTTTTTAGGCATGTTTGAGAGTCTTGCTATTGTTTTCAAACTTTCCACTCTTATCTTGGTTGATCATCACCACTTCTGTGTCTTCTTGAGCCTGAGAATACCAATAATCTCCCACTTTGGGTGTTTCTCATTGCTTTCCATGCTAGGATCTCTATATGAAAGCTTGATATTTCATCAGCATACCACCCTTGCCTTTAATCAAAATGTGGCACAAATTTCTTGATAGGTTTTATGAAAAACTAACAAATTCTGTATCTTTTCCACCTTAATTCATATCTTAGAAAGACACTTCTGCAGTTCTGCAAGTTATTTTTCTCCTTTTCTGTTTAAGGTAGATGAAGATACCTTTTGGATCTAAACACTTGATTGTGTTTTGCAAAATGTCTGTCCCTAAAAATAATGTATTTTGTTGTGTTCAGGCTTTACTTGATGAGCTGGATCTTAGAAGAAGATGAAGGTGTGAATACCAATAAACAAATTTTGGGCAGGATTCATTCTCAGCACCAAGAAAGCCATGGTTTGAGAATGCCAAGGGGCACATGGAGGACTGCAAAACAGTTACTGATAGGGATTCCCTATCTTCTTTCCCTTCTAATTATTGAAGGATGGTTCCAAACTTGCTCTTTATCTGAGTTATGAAAGGTCTCAAGTAAATGATGGTGTGTATAACAGAAATTTGGGAAGAAAATTACCTTTCCCTGAGCCTTATTCTAATTTAGCATAATAGTCCTTCAAGATACAGAGTTGAGCTCAATTCTGGATAATGCCAACAGTTAGGAAGATTTTGTACATCTACCTCTTTGCCTCAAAAAGATACATTCTAATATATCTTTGTTTAACTCAAATTGGCCATTGCATTTGTCCCATTACCTCGCCATCCTACCTTACTAATACCTATTTTATCATGCAATTTGTTTGTTACAGTGATCAAATATACATTTTAATTTGTAAGCATATATAGGGAGCATAATGTTTTCTTCATAAAATTTGGCATTGCCTCCAATGCTGATCAATAAATCATTTTATGCTATTGGGAAGCTTTATTTTTCATCAGCACAACAAAAGAAAAGAGGAATAGCTTTATATATTAAAGAAACAATGAATCCTAAACAAATTTACTTAGATGAAGAAGGAAGAATACTAATGGTGAAAATAATGATAAATCAAAAACAGATATTGATGGTAGCAATTTATGCACCAAATAACAAACAAGAAGAATTCTACCAAAAACAACACAAGAAAATAATGGAAACTGAATATCAAAATATTTGCTTAGTAGAAGACTTTGTAGATGGAAAGCTAGATTATAGAAGTAGTAAAATAGGGAAAAAAGGAAGGAATATTTCACCTAAGGCTTTTTTAAAATGGCAGAAGAAATCTGTATACAGAATATGTGGAGAGAAAAGAACCCCCAAAAATCTCAATATGCATTTTACTCAAGCAGGCATAAATCATGGTCTAGAATTGATATGATATGGATATCTCCTGAATTTGTAGAAGTTAACAGGATTGAAAATAAATAGAAAAAAGACTAAAGAGATAATTAAAAAACCTTACAGATAAACAAAAAACAAACAAACAAATTGTTAGGAAAAAACAGACCTCCAGGTAGTTAAGAAAGTTAAATACTTGGGGATATATTTAACAGCAAGGTGTGCAACAATAAAAGAAGACAACTATGTAAAACTATTAAAACAAATAAAACTAGACTTGGAAAAATGGAAAAATCTACAACTATCAATGTTAGCTCATTCTTTGATGAGTTAAACCTATCATTTTTGAAGTTTATTTGGCAAGGGAAAAAAGCCAGAATTAGACTGAAAATGTTACAAGAAGTGAAAGAAAATGGAGGATTTGGGTTGCCAGACTGGGTTCTATATTATCAAGCATCTGCATTAACATGACTAAAAGAATGGATAACTCTTAGACATAAAAGATTACTATATTTAGAAGGAAATGACTTACAACTTGGATGGCATGTCTTTTTATGGTATGGGAAGAATAAAATTCATAAATACTTTCAAAATCACTACATAAGAAACACACTGGTTTTAGTATGGGAAAAGATCAAAAGCAAAAATCTATATGAAAATACCAGCATGGATTTCGACAATGGAAGCATTTGTTCACCCAAATTTAATTAATTATAAGAAACTTATGACTTATAGAGACATTTTGAATACTGAAATTACAAACTTAACAAGAGTTGGAAGAATAAGGCATTGAGCTATCATGGTGGCTGCACCTGCAAATACAAATGAGATATGAGAAAGATGCTAAAATATATGGTTTTTATAAAGACCAGACAGTGTTTGACCAGATATTATTGTCATCAAATGAAAAATTGATTAAGAAACTGTATAGCCTTTTGTTAAATTTAAAGATGAAAGACATTGTTAAAGAAACAATGATAACATAGGGAAAAAACTGGGCACAATGTAGAGCTAGAAAAATGGCAAACTTTGTAGGAAAGAAACTATAAAATAACAATGGCAACTGCGTATAAAGAAAATATATATAAAATGTTTTATAGATTGCATTTACCACATGCGAGGTTAGCAAAAATGTTTAAAAACATGTATAGCAATTGTTGGAAATGTAGGCAAAAGCCAGGTATGTACTATCACTTTTGGTGGACATGCCCTAAAGCAAAGAAATTCTGGTCAAAAATACATATGTGGTTAGAGAAAATGTTAAGAAAACATGTAGACTTTAAACTGGAATTATTTCTTTTAGGTATAACCTCAGAAAATTATAATTAAAAATGTATATATTTGATGTTACATGTATTAACAGCAGCAAGAATTACATTTGCACAGCACTGGAAAAATGAAGAATTACCAGCTGAAGAAGAGATAATTAAGAAAATCTTGAACTGTGCAGAAATGGATGAAAGGGAAAGAAGATACAGAATACTTTCAAACATGGGATATATTTTACCAATGGCTAGAAAAATGGGTCAGAGAGTAGGAATTTAAGATGCATTATTAAGTTAAATGTGTGGACCCAGACAACACATTGTTTACTAAGCACTAAAGATTTGTACTTATAAAAAAATTAATAAAATATTTTTTAAAAAAACAGTTGAAAACAGCTTGCCTGAAAAAGCATAAATGTCAATTGACTTTACTGTGCTGTTTTGTAATTATTAAATTTTGATTATAAATTGTCTTTCTGCTAGACAATCTTGAAGGTTTGGCATTGGGCTGGAGATAAAGCAAAACATGGAACAGAGGAAAAAAAAACCATTCCATGCTTATTATTGCAGAAATTGGGTATGTCTAGTCTAGTGAAAAGAAGGACTAGGGGTGACAAAGAAGAGGAAGTCTACCTACTTTCCAAAGCATCAGAAAGAATGACAAAAATT